GAACGCCTCGGGATCCCCCAGAATGAGCTGGAACATGTTGCCGGTGAGAGGGAAGTCTGGGTCAGCCTGCTTGGCCTGTTGCCACCGCGACCCGACCCCGGATAAGCGGAGGAAAATGGATGGATGGGTGGACGGTCCAGTCATTTTTTCCATAATCCTGTTGACAAACAAACAGACCAAACCAAAAAATATAACCTCCTTGGCCGAGGTAAAAACAATATATTACATGCCTAGTTAAGACATGTGGTGGCTATGCCACAGGCCTGTAATGAAATCAGCTAAGAACCAGTGTTGAAGTACTGGTGTTTGGATGTTCTTGGCACAGATGACGAGTTATTGTTGTGTGATGTCTGTGGACTTTGTAAAAATGTAATGTAAACATTAAAAAAATTCTAGATGTGAAGCACAGTAGGGCTTCTTGTGGGTCTCATCTGCTGTGCCACAGTGTGATGTTGCTGTGTGTTATTTGAGAGGGAAAAGGGAGGGGGACGTTGTTTGTACAATAGTTGCAGTCTGTTCCTCCACCATGTTGTTCGGTTCAATCCACAATCATCCATCCACCGGACAAAGCCTTATTGATAGTAGCCCACATACTGTATCTGCCTACCATGGGTTAGGTCTGGACTAAAATGCGCGCACACACACACACACACACACACACACACACACACACACACACACGCGCGCGCACACATACACAAATCCTAACATGAGAATGGGAAGTAATGGAATTTTCCGTATTTGAAGAACACTCACACACCCATGCACACCTAACAAATAGTGTGTGTGTGTGTAGATGGATGACATTTCAGATTGCAATTAATGTTGTTGTTTTTCTGTATGCAGGTAGAGGACACACACACACACTCATACAACTAGTCTAGTCACTAATGAGTGTTTTTTCAGCTTCATGACTTGTGACCCTCGAAGCATTGGTTCCTACTGACTCATTCTCTACTGTTATTGTGTGTGTGTGTGTGTGTGTGTGTGTGTGTGTGCTATTTTGTTGTCATTTGATTGGAAAACTAGAGTCTCCCAGTGCCCAGGGTGAGATCTGCCCCCAACACCCAGTTCAATAACCACAGGACATGGCTGTACTGTGTGTATGTGTTTGTGCGTGTGTTTAGGGGTCAGCATGAAGAGTTAATTAACGCATGGCCCCCCCATGGCATGAACTGTAATGAGTTCAGTTATTGTCTAGCTATGAAGTTGTCCTCATTCTGTCTATCTTATCTCCTTAACTTACTCTGTTTCCACTTGTCTTTATTTCTCACTCACTCAGTATTGTTCAATACGAGTTCCAGTGTCCAGTGTCAAAGTAGCACCTTACTTTACAGTTCTCTACAAAGCTTTTTATTTTCATTGAAAGGTGGAATCCATCTGCTATTTCTTTCCAGTTTTTTCTAATAGCCCACTCAGCCGCAAAAAGCATTGACGCAGGTTACCACAGTAAGCCAATAAATAAGGCAGTGGCAGGCCGTGCATTTTATACCTGGGCCTTCAGTGCTGTCCTACTACAGTTGAACCGCCTCCTAATAACCTCATTATGACGCCACAGCTACGGTTATTTGTTTCTAGGGGTGTAACAATACACATATTCATATTAAACCGTTCGGTACGAGGCTTACGAACCGAACAATACGTTTGAATAATACTAGTGCATTTGGAAAATGTAGAAGCATAAATTGTGGGAAATATAATGTTCTTTCTGTGGAGCCACTGCACTCAACCTGGCAACCCACCCAATGTGCTGTCTGACACGCCCACCACGGAAGAAAAACATTGTACTCTGCTGAGGCTCGTGTGTTCTGGGAGGCACACTATGCTAAACTAGCTTAGCAGGAAAACCAACAGCAGCACACACACTGAAAACTCTCCCCGCAGAGTTTAGCTGTTCCCAACTGATTCAAACTGGGCTAAAGCAATCACCACACAACCCCCATTTCTCCAGACCATCATTCTTGCTTTGTAAAAGAAAACAGAGACATGAATACACGCATGACGGGATGCTTCATCATTAACGGACAATGCATATAGTCAAAATCAACGTAATTATCACAATGACAAGAACAAACTCACAAGAACCAGTCACATATATTTATATGACAACAAAGCAACAAATCAATCCAGCAACACTGCAGCGCTAAAACACGTATTCAAATATTATTCACATCAGAGGGACCAACATCACCATATCATAAAAATGACACCGTAGACAAATGAACACAGTAGTAACGCTACTGCAGAGGTAAAAACACAAAAGCACTTCACTTACTTGGGCTTGGGAAAATGTCATTTTTGTGGTGATGGAAAGCTTGCAAATACGGGTCATTCTTCACTTTTGGAAACAGTAGTTTGACAAAACTGTCTTAGTTCAACGTCTGCATTTTGCTTTTATCTGCATCTGTCAGCGGATAGAAGTCTCATGTTATAGTTTTGTGTTTTAGATACAATAATCATTCATTGATGTTCATATGTAGAGGGAAGTAATAATTGATCAATCATAACCAGTTATGATGACATGCAGCGCTTTCAGAGACAGTAAACACACATCTAACTTTCCTTAGTATGCTGACCTCAGTCTTCAGCATTATGCTACATTAAACAAGTGGAAGTTATTGGACACGAGCATAACTCTAAGCTGCAAGCTTCAGTTTTGAGGTAGTAACAGGATAAGGTGTGTGTGTGTGTGTTAAGCATGAGGGGGGGGGGGGCTGAAGTGCACTTATCTTGGTGTCTGTTTGTCTGTTTGCTTGTCTGTTGCAGATCTGAGCAGAGGTCAACTGACTGGAGTCCATCTGGGCACGAGTTGATGTCTTTGTTTTTGTTTGTGCACCCTCTCTGTGTGTGTGTGTGTGTGTGTGTGTGTGTGTAAACGTCTTGGCGCACGTCTTAAGGAAACGCCCAGGGGAGGTTGAGGTTATCCTATTGTTGTCAGGGCATATCTTTTAATTATATGCGAGGGTCATTTGCATGTCACAGCTAGCGGCGGTGGGTTGGGGGGGTTATTGATTGTTTGGCGGGGGGGCTGGAGACAGAAGGGTGCTGAAAATGCTGGCCGAGGTCAGGAGGTCGAACTTAGATACGCACAATTAAAGAAACTCATTTTATTTTGGAATGATTATGTTTGACTGATAACTGATGACTTTTATCATCCTATGTTAATGACAACTCAAGTTGTTTTGTGTGATGACAGAGTTGCCGAGGATTAAAGAACCATGTGCATCGAAAATAAAGGACTATGCCCGTATGTAACATACACTGGAAATAAGTTTTCTTCCTAGCTTTGCAAAAAGCCTGGTAGCAAAAAGTAAAAATATACAATACACATCTTTGTGTTGTTTTATCAGGTATAACAAAGGTCCACTGTCTGATTCAAACGGGGGATGTTGGGTTTTAAGTGGTCCATGCAGTATCATCCTCTAGCAACGTGACTCTCTACTGGAGGAAGTGACTGCACGCAACATCGTAAAGCTCCTATCCTCATAGTGGGGTTGCCAGGTTTGCACTCTGCCCTAAATCTAGACAAAACCCAACAGAATCTTGAATGGATCGGTGACAGGTTTGATATCTAGAAATAAATCTTCTCATCTGGCTTTGGGGTTCCTTTACATAGTACTTTTACAAAGGTAGCGTTGTATAATACTGGCTCTGTCCCTTTTGCTTTCACCCACACACAGATACACACACACTTTTCTCTGACTTCCAGCCATGTCTCGTCCATGAGAAAACTCAGATAGCCTCCAGCTGAAGGGGGCTTCCTCGCCTGCATGCATGGACAAATATGTGTTTGTGTGTGTGAGATTCGTGTGTGTGTATGTGTGTGAGTGTGTGCATGCGTGCTCTGCATTCATGCATGATCGGCCCTGTCTTCTCCGCGACCTGTGTGTATTTTGCATGTGAATGAGTTCATGCATGGCTGACGTGTGTGTTTGAGGCTTTATAGGTTACATGTACGTGTGTCTGTATACGTGTGTGTGTGTGTATATTTTTTATTTCAGACCCACTGTGATCTGTGTCTTTAAGAAAACAACAGGCAATACAAATGACTGCTCATTCTCCAATAAAGAGTCTCTGCCTACATACAAAAGAATAACATAGAAAGCTTTTACTGTCATGGCTACAAGATTGTCAAGCTGTGTGTCTTAATTGATAAATGATTAGTTATGAAATCATCCCTGATTCATTTTCTGTTGATTTAAATAATCATCTTACTGTACTATGTCTTATCTTACTGTTGATATAGCACAACAGTGATTTAGCTTGTAGCCTGTTGAAAAACACCTGCAATGCTTGCTATTATTATTATACTAATAAGGGAACATTTATGGCACCCTACGTTTCCCAAAACATGGATACTTTGAATGTGGACGTCTTTGGATTCAGTCAGAACAAGCGACGTAGTAAATCAAGCGTCTTTTATTAAAAGTTGATTGGTATGATAACGTTATGGAAAGTTATGCAACCATTAAAAACCCAAGAAATGGCTACACATTTCTTCTGAAACCAAGAAGAAACGAGCCTGTGTGATCTCATCTAGACAAAACGGTGGGCTGCTTAAAGGCTGTCCGCAGTATTTGACATGCAGTTGTGCGTAGCTTGCAACGTGTGTGAGTGTGTTTGACAGCAGTGGATTGTGTGTGTGTGTGTGTGTGTGTGTGTGTGTGTGTGTGTGTGTCTGAGGCTTATTAATAATGTATGAGGTGGGAGGGGTGAAGGAGAGGGGGCGGTGACAGATGGAGAGTCAGTGTGTGAGAGAGAGAGAGAGAGAGTGTCTACGCACCGAGAAACAGCGAGAGCAAAGAGAGGGGGAAAGAAAGGGATAGAGAGAGTGAGGAGGAAAGAAATATACTGAGTGAAAGAGAAGGAGAGAGTGTAGTGTTTTCCTTCATTTCTACAGTTATTACATCCGCTGTCTTTGTGTCTCCTTGCTGGACCAGACTGACAGATGCTCAGTCTTTGTGTTTGTTGTTTTCTCTTCGGTTTCTCGGATGCTGAAGGATTGATGGGGATGGAGATACAACACAGTCACCCTGCACCGCTGTACACCTGGACACAAGAGCTGCACTGACAGAGGTATCGCTATATGTCTGTAGTCTGTGTGTGTGTGTGTGTGTGTGTGTGTGTGTGTGGAGGGGAGAATATACTAACCTTCCAGTTTTACTTTTTATTTTCTGGACAGAAGTGGAGTTTAGCCAATTGATGAGAAAGTCACAGTCAAAGACACTTGTTTGTTGAGAAATCCTATTCACAGACAGCACGTGGATCAAACAGAATACAGTGTGCCGTACTTTACCGTGTTTAAACCCCTCACTGCTCACAGTCGTTTTCATCTCCTCACTACCAAAGGGAAAACACTGCTTGTACTGTAGCTGCTCTCGGTGTGTGAGTGAATGCAGTTGTGAAACTTTAATTCATTCTTAAATTAGTTACGAGAGTTACTGTTATTGTGGATGGTAAAGTATATGTACTGTAGCAATCAATTATGTCACACTTTCATTATTTTAAATGTTTCAGTGGAAAAAGATGTTAAATATTTCACCTACATCATCTGATCTTTACCTCTATTGGCTGTTACAGTGATCATTTGGGCTGCAGGAAAATAAATTACACACACACACACACACACACACACACACTGATCGGTCAGTCTGCCACGGTTGATTGGAAAATTATGGATTATGTCTTGTGGATGTTTCCTCATTGGTCACAATTACTCTTAAAGCTGCAACCTGTCTGCATTTTTGGCTCTTTCAGTTCTATTTTTTCTTCATCTCCAGATTTTAGATGAAAATGTGATGGGATGGGATGGGATGGGATGGGGCCACTGTCGGCCATACTGGAGGTACCGAGTTGTCATCACCGCTGATGCCAGTTATTGGGTGTCTCATATTAGTCTAGTCCTAATGTTAGTAATCTATAGTATTAATTGCAGCCTGGTCTCCTAAAAGTTACGTTCCTGTGCAACATAACTACATTGTCAATTATGTTTTGATAGAGCGTAAATTCTCTTGGATTACATTTGTTTTTGACGTATCACAAATAAGTTTGATCAAAGTCTGCACAAGTCTGCAGGACTTTCACCCAGGAGACTGCTGTTAGTGTCCCGTGTGAAACCAAAAGTAACGTACTAATTTGAACCCCAACCATGATCTTTTACTTAACCTAGCCAAGCTGTTGCGTTGCGTAAACCTATTAATAGTTGAAAATGCTCTTTCGAAATGACAAAAATGCCACGAGCAGTTAAAACACTGTAACGTTGTCTAGAAATGTTGATATGAAACGTATTTTTGGTTCAGCAATGTCGAGATTCAACTCATCCGTGGATTTGCAATGGCGACTCGATTTTTAATTGACATTGCTGACTGATTTAGGTAATATTGTCCATTTTGCTAGCAATTCCATTCAAGTATCATCATATGTATTTTGTATTTTTTAGCTCATTTTGACCCAATGACGGTTTCTCAAGCTCTGCACTACAGTCTGTAGCCTGGCACCAGATTTGATTTGACCTAGTGTGGTCTGGCAAGGCTCAATAGACAGGTCTTGAATGAATTAGCTCATCTCTAGCCTGCTGTATAACTTATTTAGACACAAACATGGAATCTCCCTGCACCTGATTGGTTGAACACACTCCTCGATGGCCTGTCATTTTCAGATTTTGAATCATGAAAAACATGCAAGCTATTCTGGAAATATTGGCATATTTCTCCCAAATCTGTGGACTTGGCTGTGCAGTTGTGGAGAAAACATACACGTAGTCTTGCTTTGCTCTCTTAGCATCTATCTTGAATGTTATTTACGGTATTATAGGATATACATAATATTTTACACAGCAAACATCACATCTCCTCCTCCTTAACATATTATACATTATGTCTCGATCAAGTAGAATAACTTGCCATCAAAGGATTAATACACTTCACGGTCAATCATTTCCTCTTTTAGAGATCCAGTGGAGACCAGTAAACATTCTATCGCTGTATTGATTTGGTTCCCCTATGAACACATCAGCAAAGAACCACAATGCGTCCTTCTGTACAACTTAGTATAAAGTCACCCGTCATTCATTTATTAATGATGTGGAGTGTAGAAAGTCTCTGGTGTGAACACTTTGTATCTCCGTGTTGTTAGTATTGTTTGGCTCAATGGCACTATGGCAGCATTACACTGACATTTGACCTCCGCTGAGGTCAAAAAGTCAGATCAATAATGAAGGTATGCTTCTATTTATTAGAAATGATTCAGTATGTTGTGCTGCTCTTCTCCAGTATAACTTGTCTTTACATCTAACAGTACTTTAGGCACTATGTATGTGAGTGTGTGAGTGTGAGTGTGTGAGGGTGTGTGTGGGAGGCCTAAGTGTCTGTAGTGATGCAGGGCAGTCTGAACATGCTGTTTGTTTTCCCTGTAGGAGGATTTAAACACTGAACACATTACACACATTACACACATTTATCCCTCATATTACTCTTGTCTACATGAGTGTGTGTGTGTGTGTGTGATTACATGTGTTTTTGTGTGTGGCAGATACTGGTGGGAGGATTAGTACATTAATGCATTCAAGTGTTTTTTTTAATCATGTGCAGGTGTGTATATGTATGTGTGTGTGTGTTATGGAGAAGTGTTTGTTGAGGGATGCAGGAGGGTGGACAGTAGTACCAGAGCACCAAACGCACACACACACACACACACACGCATACACGCACACACACACACACACACACACACACACACACACACTCACATGTATACACGTACACAAATACAGTCCTTTGTTTGGCAGCATTGTGAAGAGGAGGTTAATGCACCCAGGAAAACAGAAAGAAAGAAGGAGAGAGAGAAAAAGAGAGAGGGACCCTAATGGACAGCAATGGACCTTTCTCTGCAAATATTTGTCCGAGAGGTTTCACACTAACCATCCCTTCCCCCTTTCTCTCGCTCTCTCTCTCCTCCCCCTCTCTTCATGGCCAAAGGGAAAAGATCAGAACAAATTGTCACTCTGTGATCTACCCACATTACATGGCTTTTTTATTTTTCTAGAAAGAACAATGCTCAATGCCATGTGTCTGATGCCAATCGTTGCTGGGAAGCAGAGAACAGGATGTGGATTTGACATCAGCAAATCATTACCACAGTCATTTAGAGACATTATTATATTTTCTGTGGAAAGAAACAGATCACATCAGAAATCATCCTCAGCTGCAGCCCTGCCTCCTACTTAGCATGTTTATACACAAGAATGAGGCATTAGGCAGTTACATTCGGTGTCGATGTTCAGTGCTTTGGTAGTATCACCTTCATGTAGTGCAGGGTGAAGTCAAGAAGGGCAGATAGGTGAACAAGCCTTTGACTCCCACTCTGTCTTATACTCGTGGTTAGATGCTGTATCATTCTGAATGGCTTATCTTTGGGGTTTGGACTATTTGTTGGGAAAATGAGTTGCATTAGTTGCAACACGAAGACCTTTTACCTCATTTTAGCAGCAGGATTCATAACCATACAAACAACATTAATGTATCGCTTACAATAATCTGTAAAGATCCTTTTGAGATTTGTCCTCAGCACACAGATCACCTCCATTCTACATTTAAACACTGCATGAACACTTATCAGAAGAACATATATTAGATTGCAATCACTGCATTGGGTCCCTGTCAGTATATGATAGCATAAGACCTTTCATCACACTTACATTACATACATAAGCTTCACTTTATGACGCTCTAAGTAACGCCAGTCTTACACAGGTCAGTATACGCTTGTTACATGCAATGTTCGCATACAATATGTTTTCAAAATATACTTACGTCTTCACAGGAAGTTAGGTTTAGGAAAACTACATAGTTAGGGTTAGGAAAATATTGTGGTTATTGTTAACTTCACTGAGTAACAGGGCCAATGACACTAACTAGTCACGTACTGACAGAATACATCAATGCTGATTCTTAGCTTCTCACGGGACATGAACAGCAGTCTCCCAGGTGATAGTCCTGTGTTTGTATCACCCACTTTAAAGGTTCTTCTCAAACAGACACTTTGTGCGTCCATTTGTTTGTATCAGACCTGAGGCCCACTGACCAAACAACTATATTTAACGAGTTGGGAGTGACACCAGGTTGCATAATCACAGCCATACATGATCTTAAGCTAACATTCAATAACACACAGTTTGTGCATCATTTTAATTCTAAATCAATATTGACAAACTTTCCCCCCATACTTTGAGATCAAATTATATTCAACTCTGTGATGTCTTAAAACAGCAAGTGACAGAATACAGCCAAGAGCAGTGGGACATGAGCTGTTTTTATCCATTTTCATCAGCATAAAACAAGCACTGAGTCAATAGAGAACAGATGGTTCTATATAAACAATAGTAGAATCATAGAACAATATTTCATCAGTCCTCAGTCTATCCTCTCTTTATTTCTTCTCCATTGCTGCTGCTTGAGCTGTTAGATTTACGTAACTAGAGATTTAGCTGTAGATGACTCCTCTTCTGCCATGTCAAGATAATCTGTTGGCTCAAAGTGTGTGTGTGTGTGTCCCACACGTGTGCAAGTGTGTGTAGCTCATAGCATCGGATAAGCCCTCATCAGCAGAATATTCACATAAAAAACAACAACATTGCATGCAGGAGAAACCAAGTTCCTGTCATGAAATCTTCTGTCTGTGCGTTGAGTTAAGCAGGAAGCAAAGAGAGGAAGGTTATCTTATATGCTGACAGTCATCATGTATCATATGAACACAATGGAAGAGGCTTTTGATTACAGGTATTTACTCTGCTGCTTGAAGTGGTGCTGTAACTTTTTTTATTGTTTCAAGTAGAAATATTCTCACTTTAATCACCTAATAAGTCTTTAGTGATCTTTTCCTCTTACGTTTTGTTATGTCACCATCAGGAAATACATATACTGACAACAGGAGAAAATGGATATATTACGCACTGAAATAAAGTCAGTGATTCCAAAAAACTGGCAAAGTAGAGGGTCTCCTCTCTCTTAAGGGGGTTAGATGAGTGGAAGGTGGAGAAATGAAGAAGATGCTAAAGAAGGTGAAGACCCAGCCAGCCT